ACTAGGATATTCAGGGTCTGACTAAGTGAACACGATAGACAAAAATCCATGAGGGCCGGGAATTTGCCAGATCTGAACTTTTCAAATCCAAGTCACAGATCAATAAGTCGCCTTTTCAGATCATGCATCAACAAATTATTGACAGAGAAGCTCCTAAAGAAGCTGATGATGTGAAAAAAACATTTACAAGCGGCAGATGAAGGTAGCCTGTTAACTCTATAATGAACCTGTTCTAATTGGGAACGAGGGGCCCATAGACTCGCATATATATGATTAGGTTTGAAACAATGAATCGCTTGATCAACTTTAGCATGTTTTCACTATAGTGTTGTCAATTCATTATATCTCGTACACTGTTTACCTCACTACTAATAGATTCATATTTATTCATTTGATTAAAGTGACGATGTAGTCATCGAGCTGCTGTCTGTAGCTGTTTTGATGCCTTTCTTCAAATCGATATCAACACCAGGTAACACCATTGAACTCCTGTTCATATTTACGACTTGTATCAAAAGTTGAAAAGTTATTTTTAAAGATAAACTGAAAGCATGTAGCCCGAAATTTGACAGAGATTGCCTTCATACCATCAGAGTAAAATCAATCAGTAATACAGTAGATGTTTCCCAATCCAATATCTTTTAAAGCGAGGACACTATTACTGATTAATTGCCCTTAGTATAATTATACAGATTATATTCCTTAATATTGCAAAACGTATCATTTGTATTATAACATTGTAAACGTCCCCCATTTCCTTAGTGGTTGCCAGTCACTGGTGTTGGGGATCCCGCTCTCTGTCTCCTGTTCCCCAGGTAATTCAGCGCCTTAATGCTGTTACTGTCCTCGGGAACAGATCATGCGGGAGGCAGCTGAAGGCTTTGGATTTTGACAAGTCCATTAAAATCGACCAAACAGCATTGCGGCCATCATACCACGTTGCCAACCAAACAACATCCTCATGATGGTTTTACAGTCATTCCCGGACCTATAAAGACTAGAAATGGATTTTAGATATATTGATATTGCCGATTAAGTAGCAGTATTTCAAACACTGTAGAAAAACTTGGCAGTATGATTACATCCCGATATTGTTACTCTTGTCCACTGGCTTCGATTTTCATCGAATCCATCCGAGCATCTGGAAAAGTGCATTTTTGTATGGGGAAATGCCAGATCTAGAGGTGATGCAGGGTTTTAAAATTCTGAAAGAGATTCTGTGCCTTCTATTTCATCGACGACATGGGAAAAGACTTGCCGTCGGTGCGTGTTAGGAAAGTCAACCGGCTGTGCTCCTCTTGTAAACATTAACTCGTTTCAACCCCTTGAACATGTCTGCATGTTTCTTCGTCCACTCTTGGTTACCCAAGATGATCCACTCCGACAGAGGCCCCAACTTTGAGGGCAAGCTAATAATTGATCATAAGACCACAGGGTTCGCGAAGTTTCACACCACTCCGTACCATTCAAGGGGAAACGGACTTTGTGAACGCTTTAGTCATACTTTTAGCACACTCCGGACGACAGAAGGATTGGAAGGCTCATAATATATATCGTCGCTTGTCCATGCATACAATTGCACCAGGCAAGAGTCTACTGGACAGTCTCCTTACGACTTGATATTGGACAGGAATCCGTGGTTATTCGTATATCTGGCTGTCGATTTGGATTTAGGACATAATGAGACATCCTTCCGACATCAATTGAAGAAAACCTGTGAACTGGCGTCTGCAAGAGCATCCAAAGCAGAGAAAACACAAAACAAATTATGACACCAGTTTCCGAGGAGCTAACATTGCTATTGTTGATAGAGTGTTGTCGACTTCGATGGTAGGCATGATAATTCAGTTGGCGAACGAGAGGAAGACGAGCGCTGCGTCTTAACAGGTCAACCCAACGTCGAGATACCAACCAGCATTCACGACCGAGAAGGACACTGGTGAAGGCAAAGCCAGGACGCCAGGACAATGCAACAAACAGCAGAAGTTCCGATTACTTTCATCAGCAAAATGGCGGCCATTATGAAGCTATGGTTGCCGATATGTTTTTTCCAGAGTCTATGTCTTTAATAGCTCATCATCTGTGAATTCAAAGTCATTTCTAGATCTGAAGTGTTCGCGAAATCGAAGAGATAATCTTGATGGCTGCTGATCATCCCACAGATATCACAGCCGGCGCCAGCTCAAGAGATACCTCAGGGGGATTTGCGTATATCACAAGAACAAGAAGGGTCTTAGCCAGTGTTAGTAGGAGATAGAGACAAATGAAGACACCCAAAGTAGAGCTTTCACTGTGGATAAGGATACAGCGTCTGATTAAAAGACACCGGGGAATTAAGTCCACCTCCACAACCACCAGTGGCGCCCCGAAAATCGCATAGGGAGAAGACTAAGTCGAAGTGTAAGAAACGTAAGTCAAACTGAATTATACTGGGAAGGAAGAGCACAATTCTTAGGATAACTAGCTGCAAGTGGCAGGTTTGAAGGACAGCGTGAAAACGACACTTTTGCATATAGTCAATGGGGCTTCAAAATGAGTTTTTATTGTTTTGTTTTCAAAGTTCATTTCTTCATGTTTGAATGTTATTACATGTAAATATCGAGGACAATATTCTTTATTCGGAGGAGGATATGGAGATGAGTTTTATCACATTCAACCATTTTGTTCGTTTTTGTATATAAGTAAGTAATATCATGGGTAAACGAGTGCTATGATTGTTTATCCGGGTTTGGCCCGTTAGGTCTTTGTTCGGACACCAGATTTTGACAGTTTGTTCTTTCTGCCCATTCTTTTGCCTATTTGTTCTCAAGTTTTTCCCTCTTGTATTTGAATGTTGTCGAATCGCAGGTATTTTTACAAGCAATGTATTTGTCATTTGTACGGATTTAAATATCTTAAACTGGGTGGTTGGCTGACTGGATGTCCGTCTGTGTGATACCTCCCGTGTCCGAGTATCGTCTCGCCTACAAACGGCAGTGTTATATTTCAAATAAAGAAAACATGTATATTTGCCTATGTGTGCGTACGCGGGTTACCTGAACGGTTGCCATAACACTGACCAATCTTATTTTTAGCATTGCGTTATCATTACTATGTAAATGTTATCAATATCATAAATATGACGATATTTATGAATTTATAAATGTACATAATATACCTACCATTTGTCTGAACGTTATCAATGTATTATGTGAACAGTTTTATGTAGATAAATTCATTCGGACATATGAGCTAGACATATCATTTACTATCATTATGCTTCCGCTACACAGAGCTAATTGTGATTTTATAACCATTTATATTATGGTAATTGTTAAATGTAATAAGTACATCTTTCTGTCGGTTTCGGCAGATAACATAACTAAATTAACACACAACGTTTAGTTTATTTTCAATGTGATTATTTTCAGTACATTAGTCCCTGTTAAATACGTACTTTAGAATTTTAATTGTCAGTTTACAACAGTGCCTGTCCTATTTGTATTGGTAACGATTTATGTGACTGGCAAGCTTTCTTTGTTTAATTGCATGGTATAAATTCTAATATATTACTACTAGTCCGGAACTCGCAGTGCTTGGTCGTGTTTTCGTCAACTACCCATATACCCCTTAGTTTTAAGTTTGAATAGGTGATATCATGATGGTGATGTCACTAGAACGATTTAGGTGATATCACTGTGATGGACAGACGATATTGATTTATTAACTGATGTTATCACCTAATCGTTTTAGTAACATCGCCTCAGTGGATTGAGTAAAACGACACTACATGTACATAGATGCAGGTCTACATGGACTTATGATAAACACAGACTAATCAATAACAGATTACTGTCGTGCGTCATCATCGTATCACTTTCTAGTGCCTTTAACAAGCGCATCATCATTAACATAGATCTTTGTAATTACCGCTGTAATTGCATGTAGCTTTGTTTCAAATTAATTAGTTCTCTTCAATGTTTTGATAGCTATCTTACCTAATGTCCTACTCTAACACAAGACATCTATAAATACATTTTAAGCGTAGGTATTTTTTCTGATAGTATTATCTGCAAGATGTTCTTCTTGTAGATTGTCATATTTGTCCCAAATAATTCCCCTCCAGTACTAAACAACGTTGTTTCGATACCGGGGATTGGGCACGAATTCCCGACCCACGGCCCATATATTTGTAGCATGGTGACTATAATACCATTTTACACAAATATGGACCATGGTGGGTCGGGAATTCGTGGCGAATTCCTGTGGTTTCGATGACATGTGATGGTTTGCACAATACACGTTTTAATTTTCGTTTTGGCATTCCGCAGTACCAGAGCACTGACATAGTTTTATGGAGTTTATACACTGTTTTAATGTTATCTCAACATCTAGTGTCTGCATCTGTTTGCATAAGTCGATGTTGATGGACTAGAAAAAAATAATCACGAAATATTATTCTTGGTGACAAAGCATGCTATATATAATTCATGCTATATATTCATCAGGATGCTTGATATCATTAATGTTACTGGAATGTTCACGGAGAATATACAGGGTTTTTTTTAAATCCTTTTTAACTTGTCATATTTAGGAGAGGGAGAGGGAGAGATATTTTGAGAGAAGAAAAAAAAACAGTTTCGTGTCAAGAACTTATGTGAACGTGCGGCTATGATAATGAGCACAGACAACATCCGAAAGGCATGCTCTAAAATATTGCACCACATTAGGAACGAAACGCAAGTACAAACTGAAGATAAGGCTGAAAATAATAATAAAAAATAAATCCTCATCTTAAGATATATTTACGAAGGAACAGAAGTGACACGAAAAATATTATTTTCTTATGTAGGACGAAGAATATGTTTCATTATATACTGGGAAAAAAACAAAACATTTTTTGCTTTACGTGTTCATTTAAAAATTCAACGAGCGCACGAGAGACGATGCCAAAATTGAATATCGCATTCACTTGGTGTGAGATAGAGTGATTTCAATCTAAGGGTTAAGATGTTTAAGTTGGCAAACACGTGGCATGCCTGAATTCCAGCTCCATAATCAAACTTTTGTCTGTGGTTGAGATCGCCAAGTCTCGCCACCTTATTAATTTCTGTACATTTAAAAATGTTGTTATCCCAATGCCAGCGAACCTGTTTAGCAGAAGACATAAAATTGTTCACTCATGAAAAATCTTACGTTTCCAATATTGTACTGTATTGTATATCAGGGACGTATATCTCGAACTAATTGGTTGAATTGTTTTCCGATTTCATACGAGCCTGCATTCCTCGAAGAGCTTGTCAAAACAGGTCACAAAGACCTTGCAAAGTCCTTCAGTTTCATTTTCATTGATGACATCATTTTTTAAGAACAAAAAAATACTTGACCATGCTCATCGTATGTGCTAACCAGAATTGAGAATCAAGGACACAACATATTCTTCTACATCTCGATCTTTTCCTACAATAAAACCAGCATGGACAGCTTTCCATCAAGCTGTATGATAAAAGTGATGATTTCAATTTTCCTTATGTGAGTCTCCATTTCTGGATAGCAGCACTCTTAAACCCCCAGCCTATGGCACTGTTCATAAATCACACTTGATTCAATATCCAAGGGCCAGTTCCGAATACCATGAGTTTTCGTGCAAGAAGTCGTCTACTGACTGACAAACTCGTAACGGGGATCTTTTTCGGTCGTCAGATTGATATCATTGAGAAAAATTCCAGCTAGATCTTTGTGCGATACGAAGCTGTGCATTTTTATGCTCGTTAATTTTCCTTATGGTTAAGTTGTTGGATACCTTGTTCTTATTTGAGAACGAGACATGTTAGCGTGTCTTCAATGATGCAGCTTACTCTTCCAGAACATCTGGTCTCTTTGTACTTTCCAGGAGTCTCCGTGTAAATATTTCGTTTGTTGATAACTATATTTGAGTTTGGATTATAATTCTGTTCACATGTTGGTTTTTGTTGTTGCTGTCATTGTTGTTTCTATAACGAGTGGTTTTGATAGCGAAGTTCACGTTTTCTTATATGCCACTATGAACAACTCGTTGGCTAATATCAAAGCCTACTTGTGGTTAACTTCCAAGGTGTTCCGAAAGTATCGCAATGTCAATGTCAAGTTCAGTGGAACTCAACGTGACTGTCGACCAATCAGAATGAACGAAAAGACCTCGTAAGCGTAAATATATACTCATTAGCATATCGTCACGTTTTCTAAAGCATGGTTTGGAGTTTTGTAGTCAACAAACGTAGTAGAACCTGCATATTTATCTTAAGGAAATGTTAAAACCTCGTGGATAAAATTTACTTTGGTTCATCTTGTTGGAATGTCTAGAAGTCAGAGAAAACAGATATTGCATTGGTTTCGTAAAGGTTTACGATTACACGACAACCCAGCTCTGAGGGATGCGTTGAAAGGAAGCTCGACCTACCGGTGTGTCTACATCTTGGATCCCTGGTTTGCTGGCTCTTCACAAGTTGGCATCAACAAATGGAGGTAAAATATTCGAACATGTAGTGTTTTGCAGTGTTGGATACATTTAAATTTAATAGTGACACTAGCCATAATGGTTGCGTTTGAAATTACGAAACTGGGTCGATAGCCACCAGCCCACAGGTACTGGACTGACCTCGTTATTAATGCAAACCATATACTGTATATAAATAATATTTATATAGCGATATATTTAACATATCATATGATTGCCTTGTAGTTCAGTGAAGCCATGTGAGATTTTGACCAATATTCCATTCTAAGCAATCTCACCTGAGAGAGTGAAACAAAGGGAAGTAACTCGGTAAAACAGAATCCGTGTTATACTTGTACAAGTAACGTGACCTGATGCTGACGTAAAACTGGTAGTCCTTACATAACACCATGACTGTTATAAGGACGTATGGCGACAATAATCGAAACAAACTAAATTGCAGATGATGCAGTATATATGATAGATAGAACCGTGATGATGTGAGCAATTATTTCATATGTGATATGTTTTGTGAAATTGTGAACTTACTTATCAAAGCGTAAAAGTCTACCAACCCTAGGTCTAGTAATTTTCAATATTCAGTAAAACTTACCAAAAAATAATCCCTGTGTTGATTTTGCTCATGCTTTGCTCTGTGATTCCCAGAAGTCCTAGAACACTATGGCAAATTCATTGGTTTTTAACAAATATTGGGTAGGTGTAGTTTGAGGGGTCCAGCCCTGTTAAGTAGAAGTTAAAATTCTTGATATTTTATTTTTGGTTTATTGCTTTATGTTTGACAGGAAATGCCAAAACTTTGCATTGTAAGTTAACATATATAAGTTCCAATATTTGGTCCATATGCATTTATTTATTGTTGAATAATTCTGGGTTGCCTGAACAGGTTTAACTAGGATATGCAAAACCGGCCCTAACCTTGTACTTTTCCGAGGCATTGCCTGACTGATGCTTGACATCATTTATAATAAAAACCAGTGTTAAACATTCTCTTGAAACCTTTTTGAGAAGATGGTTGTCGGCAGACAGTTGAAGTAATTGGGATATTAATTCAGTTTTGTATTATGGTTGGTATGAATATTTATATATATTTATTTGTGATGTTGTTAACTCACTTATAATGCATATCTTGATTCTGATTCTACTACTCCTTCAGTACAAGAAAGACTGCCATTTACAACTTTTAAATACTTTGATTAATAAAGGTAGAATTCAATCAAAACATACCCAAGCGTCACCAATTAGTGGGTAATTTATTATGGGCGACCAGTTGGTGACATTTGGGTATGTTGTGATTGAATTCTACCTTTATTAATCTTGATATTTTACTTCATCGCCCTGTATACCTCTTGGTATCCATACCCAACGCGCAGCACCCCACTGATCAACCCTCACACCTGGAACTGACGTTGGCTCTATTTTTAGTTTTTAAATACTTTGACACATATGCAAAGTAGCAGCAAAATATTTGATCTTTCTATCACTCTATCACTTATTAATATATCTCTGTTGTAAACTATAGAAAGCATTGTCTGAATGATGATCTGATGAAGAGACCTTATTATATTAGATCCTCTACTAAAATCCAATCTTCTTTCATAATTTTTTTTTTGTGACTGAGACAGATTGTGAACTTACTTATCAAAGCAAAATAAGGCAAAAAAAAAAAAAAAATTGTACATATATAATTTTCAGACTGATCGGAAAAATTTTAAAATGACAACAGGCAGCATTCATTGATTTTGACAGTAATAATAAAGTTCTGGAGAAATTCCCTTTAGCTCCATGTTGAGCTCTTTCGATTTTGGGACCAAATAAAATGGCTTACAGCAGCCATCTTTGATTATGACGTGGAAAGATTGTTATTACTATTTTTAGGGTCAGATGACCTATTTCTAATGTGCATCATGCACTGTCGTGCAATGTGTGCTGTTTGTCATTCATAAACTTTTCCTTTAAAACACTTTTGCTTATCGTCTGGGCTGATTTCAACCGAATTTGGTCTGAAACATCAGTGTGGGGAATCATTTCTTAAATCAGAAAGCTGATTTGACCACTAGACGACCTAGGAGCAGGGGCCCAAAACAAGGAAGTAAGTCAATATTTTGCTTAAAAATGCTACTCTTCCATAATGCTTGAATGGATTTCATTTAGATTTTGTCTTAAATATCACGAGAGGTGGGCATTTTATTCTGTAATTCCTAAAGATGATCTGCACGCCAAGGGAGTTAGGGGCTGGGCTTTAAAACGCTATTCCTCCTTAATTCCTTCGATTTCACTCTGGTCTTGGGTTCAGTGTCGTAGTGACAATGATATCAAATGAGCAGGAAGTGATTCTGATATTGTCATGACCACTAAGTCATCTTGAAAAATAAGTCTGAACTACTTCTCAACTTTCGTTTGATTTGCACTGTTGAGAAAAATATATTTGCGTTGTTCGATGTATAGAGGAGAAGAAGCAAAATATGTTGTTATTTTTTAGCTGGGTAAAACACTTTGACATGGTGGCCACAGTAGTCATTTTGTAACATGGTTGTGCAATTGTTTTTCATGAACAAAACCTACTATTTATGAGTTTCTAGGAATGTGTAAAATTTGAATTCATCATATTTGTTAGATCATCATCAGCAAATTATGTGATCTGTCCACCCATACGTCAATTGTCACATGACTTAGGGCCATGGCCCTCTTGTATTTGCAGTTAGTACATCAAGTGATAATTACATAAAAGCTAATTGGATATTTAAGACAAGGTACCTTTGGTTTACTGTGAATCAGTATAGATCACCTGGGCTAGATGGTTTCACTGTTGCATTTATAAATTTTCTTCCCATGATATACATACACCTTTTATAAGTTCTCTTATTAAATCTTAAGAAGTGTGACAATTTTCTGTTTCTCAGAGACGAGGCATAGTTAATGTAACTGTATCCCAATGGAAGGAAAGTTAAAATTTGATTTAAAAAATTAGAGACCAGCATTGCTATTATATATAGATAATAACATTGCAGTAACAAGTATTGCAAATAGAATGAAACCAGTGTTACAAGATTTAATCAGTGATACACAGAAAGGTTTATTTGATAAGGTAGTATAAGATTGAAAGAAATGTAATAGAAAGGAGATCTCAGACTCATTTATGTGAAATCATACTGTCAGGTGCTAAAACTAACAAGAACAAAGAAAATACCAGACCCCAACAATAATTCCTCTTAGAAAAAATTTAATTTGTGATAATTTTAAAAAGTTTAGTGGGGGAGGCAATTTGGTACGTGAATAGCAAGGGCCTAAGCGACATAGCAGATCACTGCAGTCTTTTCTGGTGTAATGTGATTCAGATATATGGGCTTCTATATATAGAGTTTGCTCCACCCAAAACCCTGTCAAAATATGAATAAACAGTTTGTATTATATCAAAAAGATAAAAATGTGTTCTTCATTAAAGACTTTAATGGGTGAATTTATGGATGTAAATCCATATAAGCATCAACATGATATCCAGTTGAACTTTGTGGAATATTATGGCAGACTATCCGCTATCCAAAAGTCATGACAAAATGTAATTTAAACACACAAGAAATATATTAATGTACAAATATACAAATATCAAAAGGGAAGGAAAAAATAACCAGAGATTTTATTATAATATCAGTTAATAGATATAAAAAAATGCCTCACTACATCAATGCAAAAATGGCAAAAAAATTAGAAGTAAACTTTTCAAATTACAATATTTTGTAAGATGTACCATACTACCCTTTAATATAATGGATGACACAACAGGCTTTTCAATTTGAAATGCTACACAGAATATGCCTAACAAATTTTAGACTAATGAAATTGACCTTTACAGAAACAGAAATTTGTAAACAGCAAACAGAGAAATGCTAACTCGTTTCATTTATTTTTAGGATTGTCCAAATACACATAATAATATATATAAATATTGGCGAAGATCAAACTTTTTAAGGATTTTGGCCACAGTTTGCTTAATGCCATATTTCAGTCTAAACTGATGCAATGATGTATATATTCAGTGGTATTCTGTCTTTCTCAGCACATAGATCACCACTAAACCTGGTCCTGTCCTCTTTAGCTTAGTCTGGTAAATATGCATAATTTGAAAGTGAAATGAAGTCTGGTGAGGTACGACAGCAAATCATTATTTCGGCGATAGCAATATTCTGTTCTGAAAAGACTCTACGGTGTGTTGAAGTCCATGATACATCACACCTAACAGTATATTCATTTATATATGTTAACAATCATTCTATAGTGAAACCTACTTTTTGTGTACATTATAGTTAACATAATGATGAATGAATGACTATATGCAGTAATGTAAACGACCTTGTCGAGATGATTCATTTTTCAATTTCAGTGTATTTCAATACATGTCTTAAATAATGATAAGTTATAGTCAAGGGCAAATCAAACTGAAATTTTATCATATGGCCAGGTAATTAAAGCCATAGAATTAGAGCCCTGGGTGGTTTTATGAAAGGGGTTTCTCTATTTAAACCCAATCAGACAGACAACAGTGAAACTAAATATTATGACTCGCAGTAAGCCTAGTGTTTAGTCTTCATGTTTGTAATTAACTAAAGGCGTTAAAAGATGTTTGTATCTTTTATGAACCTATAGAGTCACAAAATAAACAAAACAGAACATGTTTGGGATCAACTTTTTTGACATGTTCAACGTTAACACAGCGCGCCCCACTTGCGCGCATGCCATGCATTAACCACAAATATTGAGTGAAAAATTTCAATCATTCTTTAGATTTATTACTTACCGTCAAATGGTTTTGCCCTTTCCGTGATTCATCAGTTGACGGTTAGTAATAAATCTAAAGAACCTACCCTGATGCTGTTGTGGTTGATACTCTTCACTTGATTTTCCCTACTGCTCAGTCTCCCTGCAAATACTCTCGGGTATCCAGCTGAAAAGTGATGGAGCCCAGGGCTCAACCAACCAGCACGAACGGCGTGGACTCTATTAGAAAACCCTACCACAAATATTGTTATGAATTTATATACATATATATCATAACTATTTATTATCTATCAACAATTCTCTCTTGTTCTCTGAAAAATCTTTGTGCACATAAATATAAAAATCCAGACTTTTGTATGCTATCATTTTTGTAGTGTCAGTCAAAACATGTAATAAACATTCGTAATAGAGAAAATTTAGCTCTTCAAATCATTCAAGTCATTTGCTTTATATGCTTTTACTGCTAAATTATCACTGGAATTAATATTTTGTATCAGTTAGTCATGGATATCAGCATAATTCTCTTGTGTACTCCACAATGGCTGACACACGTACACATTGTGTGTAAATACCTCTGATACAATCTAATGTATGTTATCTATACCTCCAAAACTGATGACATAATAAAGTAATACCTGCAGTGCACAATCACATTTTGTGTCATATCAAAAAGTTATTTGATAGATATAATCACCGACTATGAAGTCTTTGCAGTAACAGCATGATGTTCTAACCACAAACACATTCGCCACCTCATGATCCTTTCAATGCAGATTTTCCATTAATTTTGTTTTTATTCCAGCAGTTATTTGCTCATGAGATTTGTATAGAATGATATAAAGTGTTACTGGTAAAAAGAATACTTTACTGTTTATCAAGGATGTTCTGCAAAAATAGGATCATAAGAGAGATGTCTGCCTTTTATACTACTGTTTACATATTTGATATGGCAAGTGAAAGTAATGCTTTTGATGTCACATGTACCATGTGACCAGTCACCTCATAAAATTTCACATTCATGGGTAACAAGTACTTTCGACTGCACGTCTAAAAATAGGTATTGGGGCATATTTTAGAGGTGCCATAATGGCACAAAAACCAAAATTGTGGCCAGAGCCCTTTAAAGACTAAATAAAGATCAAACAATGGTTGCCAAGATCACGACGCCCAATCAAAATCAATACAATCAAATTACAGCTTTTGCTGAACAAGGTAGCTCTAAATTAGATCATACTGTCAGTTGCAGTGACATCCCTGGCCTGCAAACAGGCAGAGGAGAAAAAATCCTTAATATTCCTACAATGCAGAGTAGTAATAAGCATTTAAAAAGGCATCAACCTACATTTACACTAATTTGATCTGAAGAATCAATTCTAAATTCAATTAAATTTTCTAGGATTAAGTGGTAGGCAGGACTCAAAAGGGGGAAGCTTAGATTCAAAAGTGGTATGTAGGTAGGGGTCAAATGGGGGAATTGTTGAAAAGCTGAGGAACAAAGTGGTAGGTAGGACTCAAGTGGGTGATTTGTGAAAAAGCTTAGGATCAAGGTGGTAGTTAGGACTCAAAATGGGGGATTAAAAAAAAGGATCAAGGTGGTAGGTAGGACTCAGAAGGGGGATTTGTTGAAGAAGCTTCACCATTCTAGGCCTTATGCAGTGTAACATTAAAATGATTTTATTAAATCTTTGTGATGTAACATTATACAGGTACAGTTAGAGTTACTTCCCTTGAAAAATAAAAAAAAAGGCATGTTCAAGTGAGAGCATGCCTATGTCATTCTTCAGTTGTAAGTGAATTTCCCATCCGAGAAGACTATATAGGGGAGGTGGACATAATGCTATACATAACAGATCTGATCAATCATTAAAGATGTTTATTTTTGGTTCCAGATTCCTGTTACAATGTTTAGAAGACTTGGATTGTTCTCTAAGAAAACTAAATTCTAGATTGTTTGTTGTACGCGGTCAGCCAACAAATGTTTTTCCACGCCTATTCAAGGTATGTTATTTATTTAAAATACTGTCTTCAAACACTGCTGCTAGATATCTAAATTTCTTTAAAAATCACTTTTTAAACCAATATTGTTTCAGTTGAATTGATAAGATATCAGCAAAAGGTTGTTAATTTGTTTGCCTGCAGGAGTGGAACATTACAACATTATCATTTGAGGAGGACCCTGAACCATTTGGAAAGGAGAGGGATGCTGCTATCAAGGCATTGGCACTGGAAGCAGGTGTTGAAACAATTGTCCGTACCTCACACACATTGTATGACCTACAAAAGTGAGTTATTTGTCACAGAAAACATTTGTTCTTGTTTGTTGACCCTAATTTATATAACGCAAGAGAGGAATAATATTATACATGTAATAGTCTGATTACCCTACCTCATTGTCTCTATACGATGAATGTCAGGGAGGGGTATAGGGATGTTCCTTTACTGCCTTATTGGAGATACCAAATGATGAGAGTGACTTTTAAGGGTTGCAAGTGGAACAACAGAAGAATGGCATGCTTACAGCTGGACCTGATTTAACCAAGTTCACAGTTTTTTCATTAATATAACATGATTTCAATGGCAATAAAATGACCCATACTCAAGTGCACAAGACCAGTAGTCATGCAGTTGTGATGTTATAACATTATCATTTCTAAGCAATCTCACTAAATTAGCAACCTGGCCATTATCTCTCACGTGCCTCTTCTTATTGTTTGTAATGTGAACCCAGAACTGTTTGTTGAATTGCTCCAACCTCTGGGTTTCTGTAAGAAATTCCCCTGTGCATCTTCTGAACATATATGTGAAGGGGCTGTGATTGCTTAGTTAACAGTGTTGGGCTTCATGGTAACCATGGATGAAGATCTTTGGTGTGTGGTTTGACACTCACTACCTTTTTCAGGAAACTAAGAAATGGACTGGTCTGTGTTGTCACAGTTGTGTCCTTGGGCAAGACACCCTAACTGCTTTGGATGGCATGTAACAGGGCTGTAGTTCACTGAGGCAGCGTCAAGCTTCTACAAGAAGCTCCTGACACAAAATGACCCTCGCTGTTCAAGGGGCAATAAACTTATAACAACCAAACAAACAACCTTGTATGCAATAAAAATATTAGATTTTGTCAGAATCATTATGGATAACTTTATCTTCCCCAGAATTATCAACCAAAACAATGGTATATCACCATTGACATACAAGCGGTTCCAGATGATCTTGTCCAAGATGGATCCTCCAAAACAGCCTGTGGATGCCATCAATGCTTCTTATCTGGGCAAGTGTAGGACACCACTAAACGACGATCATGATGAACACTATGGAGTTCCCACCCTTGAAGAACTTGGATTTGACACAGAAGGTCTAAAACCAGCTGAATTTCGAGGAGGAGAGATGGAGGCCCTGTCTCGTCTTGAAAGACACTTAGAAAGAAAGGTACTACCGTAATGTACTTTCCACTTTTTTAAATTTAAAAAAAAATTTTTTACTGATGTTTCTTGTTCTCTGACATTGGTATTGTGTTTGTAGTCATAATCACTATATGAACGTAAGAAACCTTATCATTTGGCACGAAAGACTAAAATATATAATTAGAGTTTTATACATATATCTGATTAATTAAGCTGTTTAATCAATAAAGATCTGTAAAAATGGGGGAAAGCTACTGGTATCAAACTTCAGGGAATTTGTGTTAATGATAGTTTAGTTGTTAAGTGAGTAAAAGACAAGGTAAATGTATTTAATATCTTATATATATGCATGACGGTTCCTTTATATTTGGACGGATACAAGTATCCAGTATGGCACATGTGGCATGTATTAAAACATTCTTGAACTTCATGGTTGCCATGGAACCATGAAAATAAATAAAATATGTTTAACATAAAACTTTTTTGATGCAAAATAAGTGTAGATTTTTATACTTAACTTATTGAGTTACATGGATGTTATTATGCTGAGTTGTGTCATCATTTTGTTTTTACCATCAGACAAATGAAGACATTGTCATTGTGATATCATTATGTGTCAAAATCTACACTTATTATGTCAGTGGATTTAATTTAGTACTGTATTATAAGAATGTTTGTAATAATATGAAATTCCTTAATAACTTCAAACCATTGAAGAAAGAACCCATGGATGATTCATATCATTAAGTAGGTGAACATTTGCTGATAACAGTGAGGATGACCAGGCTTATACACAGACAGCCAGTCATGTGTTGAAATAAAAACAGTAACAGTATTACCTATACAGTAAGGAGTGCATTAACTGACAACAGAAGTAGACTAAACACCAGCAATGTTAAAACAATTTCAATAAAGCGACACCTGAAGACTGACTTATATAATCACAGGAATGGATCTCCAGGCAACAACTGTGATCAGTATTGCCCAAAGCATATGCTGACTTACATTTGTGCATTAATCTGCTACTAAATGTACGTTGAATATGAAGACTTCAGTTACAATTTCAACTTGATGATAATGTCATTCATTGACAAACAGCATATACTGTATGTGAACTTGTAAAAAGTACTTGTGATGGGTTACCCAGAAATGAGGAAGAGGTGTATATATTACAAGTTTACACCCTCTTTAGACACCAAAGAATTAGAAGAAACTTGGATATAGATGTTGATATATTGTCTATTTGTTGTTTGTAGTATCTATAACCTAATTATGAAGTTACCCTTTGCATCAGTGTCAGTGTTCTCCCTCATATCCTTGTAAGTTTTTTTAACTGCTTCTGATATTCATTCTACATGCTTCCTGTTTGATTTCACATACACATATTCCAATCACTGCCTTTTGAGTAAGCGATCTCCAAGTCAGATTGATGATATATTTTAACTAACAGATTCTCTTTTACTTGACAGTTTGACTAATTTCAAAATTTCTGTGACCCTACTTAAGGAGAGTTTGACTAACTCAAAAAGTTTTCTTATCCTACTTAAGAACAGATTGACATCTTTCAAAATTTTTGTTACTGGACTTACTGACAATTTCCAGTGAATGCATTGCACAGTATTCATATTATCTCATTGCTTTTGTAGAATTACATCTTACAAAGATTAACAGGTTATTGAATTTCAGTAAAATCAACTTGCCAGCTTGAAGACATTTTCATATATAGTTACGGTTGACATAGTGACTGTGTGAGAATGAGTAAAAAAAGATCTTTCACTTTTATGGCAACAAATATCTTCAGGTTGGTAAGTACATATATGTGACTGGTTTTCTTGTAATGTTTAAGTGACTACACTTTTAAGATAAGTAGACAGTATTTAACCCATTTCACACTTTCTGTAGCCATGAATTATTTGCTTGAATGATACTAGTTTATTGTCAGCATGACAGCAATATCTGGACTTACATACTTTTTCACCAAAAACATGAATGCTGACATTAGCCAAGGTTAGTGGGACTCCAGCATTGACTCCGCCATTGACCAACTCTTAAGGCAGATAATGCTGTTCTTGGAATATGGTATTAAGAGGTAAATGTCCATTGAAGGCTGTGGAGAAATTATTAGGGAATTAGTTTAAAGCAATAATAGTGTTTTTAATTGTAAAGAATTTTTATTTTATTTTTTTTAACGAAAAACTCATTTTATAGTGATTTGTTTTTATATTTGAGTGGATAAATTTTCAGGTCCTTTGGACCTTTCTATAATGTCTTTCTATCATTAATGGCTCCAGTTAACATTTATGACAGTGACCGAGAAACTGGATGGGATGCAGTTTTGTCATATGTTTGCTTCCAAGCATGTACTGATAGACAGCTGGGTACACTGGAGCTACGTGGGTAACATGTATTTATCAAAGAAGCACTGGTGTTTCCATGGACATTAGATTTTAAGGAAAAAGATCTAGATCTTTTGTTTTGTTGTAAATGTTTGTGCAATTTCTCTTGTTTTGTAAAATCATTTGATATATTCCTTGTAATATTTGATGACCTTGCATGAAGTTAATTTATATAAATGATTGTTCATTGAATGTAACATTATCGCTCCTAACTCAATTTGGTATAAAGCATTACAAATGAGAGAATGAAGTATGTTCATGTATGCCATGTGTGGAGATTGGCCTCCTAGGGCGAGGAGGCAAAAGGGGAGGACCAATATTTAAACAGAAAAAAAAAACCTAATCTTTATGAATGGGAAACATCTCAAGGGTAACCAGTATACTAGTATTTGTGTATGTATAAAACTTGGAGGGTGTCCTATGCTAGGAACATGGGTTAAAGACTAAATGTGTTTTCACATATTTAATCTTAAATCAACGGATTAAGAAATTGGACCAATTGGTGTCAACCCTGTAGAAGAAGAATGGTTTTTGTTTGTTGGGGTTTATTTTTACCTCGTTCCATATTGTGAGTAAGATTAGATTCTTAGTTCTTTAACAGATATAAATTATTGGGTTTTTTGAGATTCCAGGGTGACTATTTCATCAACCCAGTGTAAACAGATATAAGTGATTGGTTTTTTGAGATTCCAGGGTGACTATTTCATCAACCCAGTGTAAACAGATATAAATGATTGGGTTTTTTGAGATTCCAGGGTGACTATTTCATCAACCCAGTGTAAACAGATATAAATGATTGGGTTTTTTGAGATTCCAGGGTGACTATTTCATCAACCCAGTGTAAACAGATATAAATGATTGGGTTTTTTGAGATTCCAGGGTGACTATTTCATCAACCCAGTGTAAACAGATATAAATGATTGGGTTTTTTGAGATTCCAGGGTGACTATTTCATCAACCCAGTGTAAACAGATATAAATTATTGGGCTGTTTGAGACTCCAGGGTGACCATTTCATTGAACATATAAAATAATTGGGTTGGTTGAGACTCCAGGGTGACCATTTCATTGACCATATAAAATAATTGGGTTGGTTGAGACTCCAGGGTGACCATTTTGTCAACCCATTAAAAACAGATATAAATAATTGGGTTGGTTGAGACTCCAGGGTGACCATTTCGTTAGCCCAGTAAAAACAGATATAAATTGTTGTGTTTTTTTGGGACTTTAGGATGACTATTCCATTGATTCAGTATAAAACCTACATTTATTCAAAAAAATTATGTCATAGCCCTGATTTAAGATTGCTTTTGTAATAATGTTTTTTGAAGTCTCAAGTTTTTAATATTTTCAACTTCTTGTGTAGATCTGAAAATGAATAGAAAGAGGTGAGTGATATATCTACAGAACTTTCAATCATTTCTCATTTAATGTCCAAAATATTTTTATGTATTTGCAATGTTTTGTGAATTGTTAATTGTTGTAATTAATTAATTAATTTAATGTTAAGATTGTTAATTTAATTAATGATATGTAAATAGAGTACATTTACAGTAACATGGCCGAGAATCATTTTATATTTATATATACTGAAATGTTATGTACAAGGTATATACATATATAATGTGATGACTGTACAAGTAAATTGCATTCATTCTCTAACATTTCAGGTGTGGGATAAAAATTCTATGGTCATGGAGTTGATGTATAATACTGTATATATTTTGATTGTAGGCATGGGTAGCAAGCTTTGAGAAACCAAAGATGACAGCTCAGTCCTTATTCCCAAGTCAAACAGCGCTTAGTCCATACCTACGGTTCGGTTGTTTGGCGCCACGACTATTTTACTGGAAACTGGCAGAGCTGTTCAGAAAGGTAAAATTATTGCTTTAAAGGTTTAATTAAGGAAGCTGTAGACAGGGCAATATAAGGTTAGACTAAATGTTCTCCCACATGTGTGGGATACTGCTTAAACATGGCTGAAAGATTGGAGAATTTAAGTTGATGACTTTTGTGCTCAGGAAAAGTGAAACTCTGTCACACATCTAGATATCGAAGGAATTGCTGAGTACAGGTTATTTTAGAGACTTAGAAAACACTCCTCCAAAAGATATTGATAATTACTTCATTGAATGAACTTGAAATTATTATGGAGATAATGGCAGTTCTTGCCAACTTACCTGCCGACAACAGGTTCACAAGTACTGGTTTAAGAAACAAGATTGTACAGATGATTTCTGATAACAACATTCCTGACATTCTCCTAGTGTATGTAATGGGCAATAAAAATGCTCAGATTTTTCATAATTACAGAACTCACAGTAATGTTCATAAACAGACTATATCACATTTCCTTAGAGATTACACTGCCTCAAGATCCAAACAATCTTGATCCATTCCTGCAACTATAACAAGACCTCTGCTTTCCCCTTGTTTACAACTGTCAACCTTGGATACACGAAATGCATTAACAATTTCAAACTAATGATGTATAACAATGTCCTTCCAAACTCACAGGATATAGTATGGAGGTTGCAACTCGTGCTTCTGCTGATACTTCACCCAAGGGTGTTGAATATGGCCATCCCTCATTCTTACATATGATTGACTCCATAAAATCTGTCATTTCAAGGAACAAAATCAGAAATGGAAAAGTCAGATACTTTAAAACCATATGTTTTCATGAGGGTTTTGCTTTTGTTGATATCGAGAGGACAATTTATTCACAAATTCATATGCCCGTTAAATGATAAACAAAAACAGATTTAGAATAGTGGAATTTGTGAGCACTCTTTATCCAGGAAATCAGGTGTCAGTGGAAATGTAGTTTTCAGAAAACTGTGAACTTTGAACCCCACTAAAACATGTGATTATACAGAAGTATTGTTTGCTTGTAACATTTTAAAGTCTTATTGATTGATATTTATGAAATCTTTGTATTAATACTGAATCTAATATATATATATATATATGTATTCTTTATGTATACTTAAATAAAATGTTTTTATTTCATAGGTGAAAAAACAATCGGATCCACCATTGTCCCTGCATGGTCAGCTATTATGGCGTGAATTTTTTTACACAGCTGCCACCAATAATCCAAATTTTGATCAAATGAAGGACAATCCCATCTGTGTTAAGGTTCCGTGGGATCACAACCCTGAGGCTCTGGCAAAGTGGGCAGAGGTGAGACAAATACTGCAAGAAATTTGAATAATCTGTAATAATGATATATAATCAACATTTGAACTTTTATGTTCTTGGTTTGAACCTCAGTTTGCTTGTACATGCTCTTCTTTCCCCAAGTATTGTTAACATCTGATAAAATATGGAGGTACCTTTTCTGCAGGGTATGACGGGTTATCCATGGATTGACGCAATAATGCGGCAGTTGAAGCAGACCGGCTGGATTCATCACTTAGCCAGACATTCTGTAGCGTGTTTCCTCACGCGGGGCGACTTGTGGATATCTTGGGAGGAGGGCATGAAGGTAAACAACATAACCGACAGTATTAGTGTACAAGTCTGTGTGAAGAAAAGCCATGTTAGTTCTGCCTACCTAGCTTCAGTTTGTATATAGATATTTCCATCAGGCATCTCTTGACCACCTTCATGAATTAATACGGAACCCTATGATTTTAAGTTGTTTTGTAGAAATGGTATCTATTTTTAGCTGTAGTTGCAAAGATTATGAAAATAAATAAAAAAAGTATTTATTATTGACTGAAATATTGTCAAATGCAAGCCAATGATAACGGTACATGACTGTTACCTTGTTTAGCACTAAAATAACCTTCTTATCTGGGATTCATAAGTATATGTGTGTGTGCTTATCTTTCTCTGGGATATTTACCTATGTCAAATGATTTATAAGTATATGCACTTCTTCAAGCTAGATATTTACCTGTGTCTAACGAGCTCAGATTTATAAGTATATGCACTTCTTCAAGCTAGATATTTACCTGTGTCTAATGAGCTCAGATTTATAAGTATATGCACTTCTTCATGCTAGATATTTACCTGTGTCTAACGAGCTCAGATAAGTACATGCACTTCTTCGTGCTAGATATTTACCTGTATCTAACAAGCTCAGATTTATAAGTATATGTGCACACCTTTATCTGCAATATTTATTTGCATCTAACAATATCATACTTATAAGAAATTGTGCACTCGTTTATCTGCGATATTAACTTGGCTAATGATCCCAGATATATAAGCACATGTGAATTCCTTTAGGATTGTCTGAATCATAGGGTCAGACTGACCTCCATTGTGTTTTATCCATTATTGGGCACCATGGCAGCTATTTGGTAACAACATTGTGTGATCATGGTTTCATTGAACAATACCTATTTTAAACTTCTCTGATTCTTCCATTGACATTGAGCTGAAACATGCCTGAAATGATCCTGACCAAGTCTTTCATTTTTCAGGTGGTTTGTAAATCCAATAGGGTGACCATCTTGAAAAACATCTTAAAATTTTTCTCAAGGTCCACTGATGCCAGTGGGCAAAAATTTGGTGGGAATATTAAGGAAAGGAAGCCAAAAAAGTGTTGTTATTTTTCAGCATTTTCAAATGTTCAATATGGCTGCCATGGTGACCATATTGTAACACAACTGCACTATCATTAATTGTTTATCCTTACAATGCCTGTTTTAAACTTCTTCATAAATTCATCTATTTTAATCAGCTGAGACTTGCCTGAAGTGTATAACACATTTGAACTTTGTACCCAATTCCCCAGTTTCCACTACTACACTTCTGCTTTCACCAGTGTATCATATATCAGTCTTTATGGTCACATGACCGTTAAGGCCTGTGGGCCTCTTGTTCTGTAATATCTACCTGTGTTACATTCTCAGGTTAATGTGTACCTCTTTACAAGTGATACTTACCTGTGTCTAATGGTTGTCAGGTGTTTGATGAACTACTGTTGGATGCTGACTGGAGTGTTAATGCTGGTATGTGGATGTGGCTGTCATGCAGTTCCTTTTTCCAGCAGTTTTTTCACTGCTACTGTCCTGTGGGCTTTGGAAAGCGGGCTGATCCTACTGGGGATTTCATTAGGTAAGAAATTCTGCTAGAGCAAATTTATGTATGAGTATTTTTTCATTCTTTATTCTTTCACGGTAATGTGATAAGATACGGAAGAATAATATTATATTGTGTGGTTAAATGAGTAAGCATTGACCAGGTAGGTAATCCTCCACCTGTACTATGTGACAGGGATTAAGCAAAACTTAAATGGGACTGTTCAGTGGACAAAGGTATTTCTGCCCAAGTGTAAGAGTTTGGCTGGTCATGGACCCATTATTTTATTCACATCCTTAAAAGAAACAGTAATTAATTGTAAGATCTGAAACCTATTGCATCATCAAATATGTATTGAAATGGATGACATTATCAACTTGCAATATGCATTATTTTTAGTAGTACCATATCACCTGCTAGCTGTGTTTCCCTACCTGTGAAGTATGTAAAAATTAGATATGATTCCTTTTATACCAGGCATTGTTCAGGATCAGTCTATTGTTCCCTGTTACCTACTACTTTAAACTTCCAGATCTTGTGATAGAGTAATACCTACAATGACATATACCCGGTACCCCTTACTGAAATCAATAGTGGATTATAGAATATCTCTTCAAGTATAACCTGACTTCACTGACCTGAGTGTATTGTGGATTATCTCTTCCAGTATAACCTGACTTTACTGACCTGAGTGTATTGTGGATTATCAAGTCCAGTATAACCTGACTTTACTGACCTGAGTGTATTGTGGATTATCAAGTCCAGTATAACCTGACTTTACTGACCTGAGTGTATTGTGAATTATCGCTTCCAGTATAACCTGACTTTACTGACCTGAGTGTATTGTGGATTATCAAGTCCAGTATAACCTGACATTACTGACCTGTGTGCATTGTGGATTATCGCTTCCAGTATAGCCTGACTTTACTGACCTGTGTGTATTGTGGATTATCGCTTCCAGTATAGCCTGACTTTACTGACCTGTGTGTATTGTGAATTATCGCTTCCAGTATAGCCTGACTTTACTGACCTGTGTGTATTGTGAATTATCGCTTCCAGTATAACCTGACTTTACTGACCTGAGTGTATTGTGGATTATCAAGTCCAGTATAACCTGACTTTACTGACCTGAGTGTATTGTGGATTATCAAGTCCAGTATAACCTGACATTACTGACCTGTGTGCATTGTGGATTATCGCTTCCAGTATAGCCTGACTTTACTGACCTGTGTGTATTGTGGATTATCGCTTCCAGTATAGCCTGACTTTACTGACCTGTGTGTATTGTGGATTATCGCTTCCAGTATAGCCTGACTTTACTGACCTGTGAATGATCTCTTATATAAATATTATTTTATTGATTTATATTATATAAACTGTTCTTCCTTTCCAAATAGATCATACATACCTGAACTGAAGAACTATCCCTCTAAGTATATTTTTGAGCCCTGGAATGCCCCACAGTCCGTCCAGAAGGCAGCCAAGTGTGTTATAGGAAAGGACTACCCTCTTCCTATCATTGGTCACAGTGATGTTAGTAAAGTCAATATGGAGCGTATGAAACAGGTCTACCAACTCTTAGCTCAGCGAGCATCAGCAGGTACAGATCATCTATCATGTCCTTCATTGGTGAATTATACATAGAATTGTCCCTGACATTTCTGATAAATCATTGAAGGATTTTATATAGTGAAATACCAAGGGGAGTACTACTGCTGGCAAGTGTGAACATTCAAAGTATATCACTGTACCTTAAACATGTGTAGTGTATTAGAATGGAATGTTCACATATTTGTTAATTGGCATTAACACTTGGCCATCATTAATCTTTAAGTACTGTTGGAAGTTTTACACTGTGGATTACCAAAATCTGTGATCTGAATATGAAACTAGTAGACAGCTCAAATATTGATAAAATACTATTGTAGAGGCAACTAAAGGGTAATATTCAATCGCAACAAGTCCAGGGTACCAGAAGAGTATATTTATTACAATCTGTCTACCAGTTTTGCCCGAACAAGTGGACTTCTTCAGGTCCAGAAAAAACCAGTAGACAGATTGTAATAAATATACTCTTCTGGTACCCTGGACTTGTTGCGATTGAATATCACCCTTTAGTTACCACTATTTCTCAATCACCATGCATATCTGGAGGTATCCAAGCTAGGGACCACGGATCCTACGAACGCTACGAAAAGAACGGCGTTGGTTCTATATCCCTATGGATTGTAGAGGCAATATACATAGTGGCACTATATGTTAATTCTGACAGCTTACCACACTGGAATGTAAATTAATGGATAATCTAATTGCTTTCCTTATGTCAATAAAATATTGTTGAAGTTTTTATGAATATTGATAGTTATTTAATGTCAGAGTTTATCAAGCTGCTTGTAATATCTCTCAATAGCCAAGTCATTGTATTAATGAATAATTTAATGTTGCATGACGAGAAAATGTAAGTATTTGTATAGGTTGTAATGTCAGTTGTACTTTTCTTATTTCCTCGCAGTGTCATCTATTCCAAAACATCCTGAGGACCTGACACACAAGACAACAATGGCACTCACAGGTAAGTAGAGTGTAAACATTGCTGAGTATGTGTACCTTTATTTATTCATATCACTGTCAATATTTCATGATGGTGTAAAAGATATATTAGTGTAAGTTGCTTGATTTAATTTAAAGTATGTAGTTAAAATTAAAAGTATGGACAAATTTTTAAGATAAGTTTTATACTGGACAAAATATGTCCATAAATACAACATAGGAAAAGGGTAGTTTGATAAGACATAGATAGTGTAATGGACAGTTCAGTGGTTGTGATATTCTAATTATAAGCTAGATAACTTATGTTAGTGTAACTGTTAGTTAAATTTTGTGTTACCTTTGATACAAAACATTGTGTTTGACAAGAGGAAATACGGATTTAATTAGTCAAGGTCAAGGTCACTGTTAAAAATAAATAAAATGTAGTCTACATATTCAATAGCATCTCTCTAGTAATATCATATCTCTGCAGATTTTGATTAAACTTAACAGGAATATATTTTAAATACCTTTAGTTGTGAGTATGAGCTAATTGGTGAGAGGTCATTATCTGTAATGATAAATCTCAGCATAGTCACTGTATTTCTGAAAATATTTTAATGAATTTTCATAGGTTACTTTGCTTCTGACATGTTTGAAAAAAATATATGTAGTCACTCTAGAGATTTTAAAGAAATTTAACTTGTTTGACTTTTATAAGTTTGAGGGTCAATATCAGTCAAAGGTCAAGGTTAAAACTGATATTTTAAATTGTTGTATATGGAAATAGAAATACATGAATAAGAATCGGAATAGATAGGTCAGACAGAGGGTTTGTATTGAGTCCGACTTATTGTTTGCTTGTGCTGGTCAGTTGCCGGTGTTTTTACTTGTGATATGTGTACTTCAGGTGCCCATTCTGGAAACCACCCAACTCGAGTCCCAATTTGCTGTAATGCTGCAGACCAACAGACAAACAATGAAGGCACTGACCACACTATTGGTTCTACATTCGCTGTGTACTCTAGTGCTTCTTAGTAAGGGGCGGAACAATATCGTGTTCCTGGCACGGTGTGCAGCAATTCAAAGAATGGCATGTAGAAATGTAGACCATATCCTGTTGTGGTATTTATATATAAAACTGCTCCCATTTTCAGTGTATATAGATATCATCAAATTTCATGTTTTTTTGTAAATATTTCTGAACTTCGCAAGGACACCAAATCCCATTTGCTTTAAGCACTTGTGGTTTGCTGTGACAGTATATAAAAGTTATGTGGCTGTGGTATTATATTCCTGAAGGCTGCAGAAGTATACTACACAATTTTACTTTTACTGGTAATATTCTCCAATATTAAATGACTTATAAGTGATGTGTAGCTTACATACAGTAACTTTTCAATTTTGTAAAAGTTCATTCTGATTTTACTGGCACTTCACTCCAAAGCGATTACTCTGAAGTTTTGTGTCAAATTTGATGAAAAATGTGTTATAGATTGTTAAAACTTTAAAAAGCTAAAATAATGATCTGGAACATAATTAATGTGTCAGGTCTGTAGTTTTTCACTTTTTCTCTTGTTTCAGGATCATGGATAATGTTCTGATAATATTTGTTATTGACGAGTCCCAAAAGGACTTAATTAAATGGCATACACTTCTGAAATTTTTGAAGCCACATGGTTTGAGATACAGCATTAACTTGCCTGAACTTTCTTTCTACAATACGTACAATGATATTCTGTTGTGTATGTATGTTATGTTGATGTCAGATTGTGGTCTAGAGGTATGTTGCAGTGTATCATTGTTACTTTTATTTGATTTAAAAAACACATTAAATGACAGTAAATGCTGTAAGATTAAAAATAAATTGAAGATATGTTATTTTACTTTGCCTTAACAAAGGAAATTAGATAAATAACTTTTGCTTGTTTCAGAAATACAACAACCAACTTCTGTAGGATGTACTCTTAGGTCATAGGGTCACAGGTCAAATCAAGACAAAAAGAGATTTGGAATAATTGTCAATCCTTTTCAACAATTTTTGCTTTCAGTCTTTTGTAGAATGTATTGTAGCAATCTGAACTAGTATGTTTTGGTAAAAAAAAGAACAACAAAAGGGAAAAAGAAATGAAAAATCTGGCTTATCGTTGGGCTTTTTCTCAAAGTTCATTTGAAAAAGATCTCATTAGTACATTGTTGTGCATATTGCATTTTGGGTAAAACAGAATGGAATACAGTGTGTGTATGACAAATGATCATGGCTATATTGATTAGGGTTTTGAAAGTTCATGCTTTTCCGTACTGGCAAAATATCAGTGGTCCTTAGCTTTGAATTTTACAAAATTATGGGACTGATTAAAAAAAATATGACCAACCGAGTTCCATCTTTGATTTCCAGAGCCATGTCACAGGAAGCACAATATGGATCTCTCTCAATTTTCACATAAGTCTGTGTTGGCCCCTAGTTTCTACTAATAAGAGCTTTAATGAGGAACTTGGTTTGAAAGGACAAATCCATAAACTCTGGGGGAACTGTTTGCTTGGTTGCTCGACTGATTCTGTATTTGGAAGTAAACAACTATGCCTTAAACTTACAGGATTTTTTCTTTGGGATGGAAAGTTATGTTGATTTTTTGTATCTGTTATTCTCATTATTATACAGAGATTGAAATGGGATTGATACCTAGTTTGAGCTGTTTTATCCAATGCTGATGTCCTGTGTTCTACCCAGAAAAGTAACATCTTATTATATAATATGGTTGGAAATAAAATCACTATGTTTTGTTTTGATTGAGCTTTTTTGAAGGCAGCATAACTGATGTTCCTTGTGAAATTAGGATTTTTAATTCCCGGTATGAAATATTATTTTGTTTAACAAACATGGAGAGCTGATCACTCCTATACTTCTGTCTTAGTGTTAACCTTTCATTCTGAATTAACATCATCAGTCCGGTGACTTCATTGTTTTGGTGATTTTCCAGGTTGAGTAAAAATGACCTTGATTGAATTGTGTTACCATACCTCAAGGTTAAGGTTACTGTTATTGTAAATCATCAACATATTTACATGTTCAATGCCTCAATGACTTCTCATCTTGTATTTGCATGTGTTGTTATCCTAATTTTATTTGCATTGTTCTTTGACCTCTGTCCTCGTAAATTTTGTACATAGCTTAATCACATAATTATAGCTCACCTGGTCCAAAGGACCAACGAGCTCGTAAATTTTGTACAAAGCTTACTCACATTTTTATAGCTGACCTGGTCCAAAGGACCAACAAGCTAATGGCATTGTTTCAATCATCCATCAACTTTTTACTGAAAATCACTAAAGTCATGAATGACTGAACAAATTTTGACCAAATTTTTATATTTTCATAAATGTCCCAAGGGGGCTGAGAGGTTGGGTCAAAATGGAGAATTTAACAAGTTCTCAAAATTTTTCTTCTTCTGATTTTTGCCCAAACTTGGCCTGAAGCATCCTTGGATGAAGGAGACTCAGTTTTGTATAAACAGTCTTGGCATTTAGGGTGAAATGGGTGGGTCTCAATAGGGGATATAAAGAAAATTGTTTAAAATCTTTCTTTTGTAGGAATGCCCTGATTCTGGCCGATTTGATCTGAAGCATACCTTAATTGTAGTTGAAAGGAACCCAACTTTGTATAAACCAGGACTCTGACATCAGAGGTGTGGGGCCCAAAAGGGGAAAAAAATGTTTATAAAATTACACCAACATCATTGACAAGGTCCGTTTTGTTGTTATACCTTGGTGGATAGAACTTCAGATTCTGTGATGGGTGTAAAGTTTGGTAAATGAAACAATGGAAAGCCTGTAGGTTGTAAAACTTTGTATATACATTTGTTGAAATGATGTAAATATGTATATATAATATATTGTTAAATCATTGTATCAGCCTCCATATCTTTTGTGTTGTGATACTAAACTACATCAAATCTATATGATCCTTGGCTGTTTACGTAGTTGAATTATGTTAACAGTGGAATGGCTTTTCCTGGAGAAGTGTTACGATCATTTGTTGATAAATTACTGTACCAGTCAACAGATGAAAAAAAATATGTTTTGATAAGTAAATATGTTATTAAAAGAGTGTCCTTGTATTTTGTTATTTTGTTTGAGTGGTATAGCACCAGAACTGGTAGAATAGGCCTTTAGGTTATGAAACTCATTGTAGAGTCAGTTTCATCTCCACAGGTCAAATACAGTCAGTTTACATACATACCACAAAGTTAACATGGATTACCTTGTCATTATACCACTCTTTTCACTTATGTAAAAACAGTGAGGGTAAAGTAATAACTTTGTATACTAGTGTATGGTTACCTTGTGTACAAGATAGCTCATACAACCCTGAACAAAATTGGTTTATATTCAGCCTTAATCACTATATCGTTAAGGTCCACCACAGATTTAACCTTGGTTTTCATTTGTTAGGTCATCTGACCCAAAGGGTCGAGATGACCTATAGCCATCGTGCTGAGATGACCTATAGCCATCGTGCTTCGTCCGTCGTTGTCCGCCGTCCCTTGGCCGTAAACTTTTTATTCAAAAAAACTTCTTCTCAAATACTAGAAGTACTAGGGGGCTAATACTTCGCCCATAGCTTGCTGGCATGGAGCCCTACAAAGTTTGTTCAAATTAATGACCTTGACCCACTTTCAAGGTCACAAGGGTCAAATATGTTAAAATATACAAACGACTTCTTCTCAATAAGCAAAAGTCCATGAGTGCTGATATTGGGCCTGTAGGATGCTTTGAGGAAGTGTTACCAAATGTGTTCAAGTGAATGACCTTGACCCACTTTCAAGATCACAGGGTTCAAATATGTTAAAATCTGTAAATGACTTCTTCTCAGTAACCAAAAGGCTTAGAGTGCTGATATTGGGCCTGTAGGATGCTGGGAGGAAGGGCTACCAAGTTTATTCAAATGAATAAAGCCCACTGTTGTAACGGCAGACTCACTGTTGTTAGAGTTTGGCTTGCTTTTTGTCAGATGACTGTTAAGGCCCATGGGCCTCTTGTTAAGGTTAAGGTCAAGGTTGATTGATCCCTCTTTATGGTAAGAGCTGGTGTACCAGATATCTTATAAAAACATGAACAGATTGAGTTCAGATTCATGCCAAATTATCTCAATACCAAGGCCTGAACTTGGAAAGATTTCAGTGGTTATTGGTCAAGCTTGTGTATGAGATTGGGATTTGGGGAGCCCCTGCACACTGTTTTTTTTTCTCCAAGATTCTACAGCCTATTAAGTTTACATGTTAACTTTAGTCTACACAAGTTATTGTAGTATCAGTTCAATATCCTTAGGTAAATGCACTGTCAATTCAGTTTCAACAGGCCACTGCACTGTCTGTTCAGTTTCCACGGTACTGCACTGTCAGTGCAGTTTCCATGGCACTGCACTGTCAGTTCAGTTTCCACGGTACTGCACTGTCTGTTCAATTTCCACATGCTATTGCACTGTCTGTTCAGTTTCTACATGTTACTGCACTGTCTGTTCAGTTTCCATGGTACTGCACTGTCTGTTCAATGTCCACATGCTACTGCACTGTCTGTTCAGTTTCCACGGTACTGCACTGTCTGTTCAATTTCCAAATGCTACTGCACTGTCTGTTCAATTTCCACATTACTGCACTGTCTGTTCAGTCTCCACATGTTACTGCACTGTCTGTTCAGTCTCCACATGTTACTGCACTGTCTGTTCAGTCTCCACATGTTACTGCACTGTCTGTTTAGTTTCTACATGTTACTGCACTGTCTGTTCAGTCTCCACATTACTGCACTGTCTGTTCAGTTTCCACGGTACTGCACTGTCACTTCAGTTTCCACATGTTACTGCACTGTCTGTTCAGTCTCCACATGTTACTGCACTGTCTGTTTAGTTTCTACATGTTACTGCACTGTCTGTTCAGTCTCCACATTACTGCACTGTCTGTTCAGTTTCCACGGTACTGCACTGCCTGTTCAGTTTCCACATGTTACTGCTTTGTCACTTCAGTTTCCACAGGTTATTGTACTGTGTGTTCACTTTCCACAGTTTACTACAATGTCAGTTCAGTTCCAACATGTTACAGTATATTTTGAATTATATTTCCACTGTGAACAGTATAAAGTTGATTATGTTTCCACATGTAATGGTACCAGTATACCATCAACTTAGCTCCCACATACTACAGTATACCATCAGCTATGTTCCCACATGTTACAGTATACCATCAGCTATGTGGGAACATGTTACAGTATACCATCAGCTATGTTCCCACATGTTACAGTATACTGTCAACTTTGTTCCCACATGTTACAGTATACTGTCAACTTAGTTCCCACATGTTACAGTATACCATCAGCTATTATATGTGGGAACATGTTACAGTATACTGTCAACTTAGTTCCCACATGTTACAGTATACCATCAGCTATGTTCCCACATGTTACAGTATACTGTCAACTTTGTTCCCACATGTTACAGTATACCATCAGCTATGTTCCCACATATTACAGTATACTGTCAACTAAGCTCAAACATGTTATAGTATACTGTCAACTTAGTTCCCACATGTTACAGTATACTGTCAACTTAGTTCCCACATGTTACAGTATACCATCAGCTATGTGGGAACATGTTACAGTATACCATCAGCTATGTTCCCACATATTACAGTATACCATCAGCTATGTTCCCACATATTACAGTATACTGTCAACTAAGCTCAAACATGTTATAGTATACTGTCAACTTAGTTCCCACATGTTACAGTATACTGTCAACTTAGTTCCCACATGTTACAGTATACTGTCAACAGCTATGTGGGAACATGTTACAGTATACCATCAGCTATGTTCCCACATATTACAGTATACCATCAGCTATGTTCCCACATATTACAGTATACTGTCAACTAAGTTCCCACATGTTACAGTATACCATCAGCTATGTTCCCACATATTACAGTATACTGTCAACTAAGCTCTAGCATGTTATACTGTCAACTTAGTTCCCACATGTTACAGTATACTGTCAACTTAGTTCCCACATATTACAGTATACTGTCAACTTAGTTTTCAAATGTTACAGTATACTGTCAACTAAGCTCCCACATGTTATAGAATACTGTCAACTTAGTTCTCACATGTTATAGTATACTGTCAACTTAGTTCCTACATGTTACAGTATACTGTCAACAGTATACTGTCAACTTAGTTCTCACATGTTATAGTATACTGTCAACTTAGTTCCTACATGTTACAGTATACTGTCAACTTAGTTCCCACATGTTACAGTATACTGTCAACTTAGTTCTCACATGTTATAGTATACTGTCAACTTAGTTCCTACATGTTACAGTATACTGTCAACTTAGTTCCCACATGTTACAGTATACTGTCAACTAAGCTTCCAAATGTTACAATATACCGTCAACGAAGTTCGCACATGTAACACAGTATACCATCTATTAGGCTCCCACATGTTACAGTATACTGTTGATTGCTTTTACAGGGTTCTGCATTATTGTCTACCCTGATTTATTCAGTTTTTAGGGTCTCCTGAGGAATCATCTTTTGTCTGGTGTCGTCCATCATGCATTGTGCATTTGTAATTTACATTTTAGACTTGTTTTCAATAACCAAAAGGCCCAAGGTCATGGTATTGGGCCAGTACCATGTTCGTTCAAATGAGTGACCTTGAGCTATTTTCAAAGTCACAGAGGTCAAATGTGTTAAAATCTTTAATTAATTGAAAATCAAGGCTTCAAACTTACAAACAATAAATACTATGTAAGTATGCATATATATCAATTCTGTTCTGTCTGCCCCAGTGCTGGGACTGATGGACAGGTTTTAGAATTAAGGCTCGTGGGCCTCTTGTTAAATGTTATTTATCACTTATTTCATTAAAGTTTGAAAATGAATGAAACAAAAACTTAAGTTTATAGTTTATATGAGATGGTTTATTGATCAGTAACATGATACAAATACAGTACACATAGCCGATCATGTGTTGACATTAACACTGACATTTGATTTTTGTTACAACCAATGTTCTTGCTTCATAACTTTAAAAGAATATTTCATTTATTTTTTGCTAATTAAATGTCAAATGAAAAATATTGCCACATTTTGAAGTTCAGGTTACAAATTCTCTCAAATAATTCCAGACACGCTCAAAGTACTGCAAGACAAGGCTACCGAGTTGATACATACTTAAATGCTAAGTGAGTATTTTGAAGTACATCGTATAAGTCTGTGAACACATTAATAGCTATATACATTTATATACAAGCTGCAAAGTGCCACACAACAAAAGAGTTACAAAAAGAGCCTTCAATTGCAAAAACTGTAATTACAAACATTCTCTTTCAAATGTGTAGTTATCATTACATATGTCAAATCAAATTATTGGGGAATTCAAAATGAGCTTAAAATTTGATATATATATACCACAAATCATGATGTTTATTTTGAAATTTTAGATTTTAAGTATTTTTATCACATCATTTAAAGTAATAAGTAACTCAGTTACCTATATGTTTTCAAGATCAATCTATCTTGTTCTAGGGCTGACATTCTGTTATCGTACTGAGACAGAAAAATCAAGCCCTGGGTAGCACACAAGATTTCCCTATCTCATGTACAAGAACAATAGAATTATTTTTTTAGATTATCTCCCTTTCTTGTTATTAGTCGTAAAGACATTTGAAAATGTCACCTTAATTGCACTATCACTACGTACCAAATTCCTTGTAAAAGTACCTAACAGATCGGACAAAGCAGAAAAATAGAGAGAAAAATCAAGTAATGGGTAGTATGTGTGATTTCTCAGTCTCATATATAAGAATTCTTCCCTGATCTGGATCACAATTCATCCTTATACAAATGACAATTCCATGATTTCTTTGTTGCCTCCATGGCACTGTTTTAAAAGTATTGAATGTTGAATATCCCATTCATAGAATACATTCTTATTGTAACCTATATTATGTGTCATCACAAAAAGTCACACACTTTTGCTTTGATATGGACTTGTCAGCTAACTTTAATCAGGGCCATTATAAGTGTGGCTAGTTGAAATAAAACTGGATATAGTG